GGCAGTTACGCCCCCTAGCGGTCGAATTACGAACTTGAAAATAATTTCCAGCTATTTCTCTTGACAACTTTGCTTATAAGGATTTTTTTCCCAAATCTCTAAGCCTTAGCGTTGTTGAGATACAGCCGCTCCGTACGCTTAACGGGACACCTGTATATAACTCCAACTGCAAAATTTAAACCATTGAGCCGAACCTCAACCGAAAGCTGTACCACTCCAGGAACATGATCAGCATCAATACATCGCCATTCAATACAACTCCATATGCGCCGGTTCCAGTGATTTTCTGGATGTTCTTTCCTTTTGCGGATTTAACCTTAATCTTGTTATTATTAATTCTACTGATGAATATCAAATCTCACTTTGTAGTGATCAATTAGTTTCTGAGGACGCACTCCACTCTTAAGTTTTCATGGTGACGCTTTGTTTTAGAAAAGCTCGCTTTCCTGAATTAAACGAGTACTTTAACGAAATTGACTGGGAATCAGAACTCGCTAGTCGTGATATAAACGACGCTTCATATAATACCATTAAAGTAATTCGAAAGAAAAGGAAGGCAATATTTATAAATATCTAACTGCTCTATCATAAGTCTTTCTAAGATCTTTGAAAGAACCGGCAGAATTGTAATGGGCCTCAGATCCTTACAACCAGTGATAGGAACAACTTTGGGAATGGGAACAACAAAACCATACTTCCAGCAATCCGGAAACACTAAATGAATCAAACAAAAATTGAAAAGATGGACAAGCATATCAAGAATACAAATCCATCAGATCCAACTCCTGCAGACTTTAGGTTCAATAAAATCTGCTGGATACACTCAGCAGAAACCTCACTAAATGCAAACATGGACGAAGCAGGACGCATCCTATTATTGTTATAAAAAGCAAGAAGATCAATATCAGGAGTAACCAAGGAGTTATTTAAACTATTACTAAAGAATGTATTGATTTCAGTGATTTCCAAGAACGATTCCAGGATATTTTAAAATAGGAAATACCAGATTGGGTGTTGCATCCTTTTTTTGGATCATCCCAGCTGAAAGAAGAACTAATAACTTAATATAATTAGATTAGTTTTAAATCCAACATTAAATCGTTGATGAAAATTTCGTTCACAACGTTTTCTGCAGAACGCATCTTTAGGGGCTAACTTCACATAAGTCAAAACTACTTTTTACAACAACCAAACAATTTGTACAAAAATAAATTTTTGTGTTCTTACACAATTACTTGATGTAATAAAATTTAAGCAAGCAAAAAATTAAATTACCAAGCTCTAAATAAGTATTAATATGTTGTAGTACATACATTTTTTTATTTATTACACACTAGCCTTTTTTTTTTGAGATTTTTTGAAATTATTTGCAAATTTTTTTACCCATACCTAAATATAATGGAGTCGAGATCGAACGGATACTCAAGAATGCCTGTAGTTGGGGCCCTAGCTCTTAAAATATCCTGTTCTGTCGGTAGATAACTTTCCTCCTGTATCCGTTCGAGGTCGGAGAGATAACTGTAACCAACACAAGCATGCAGCATGCACTTGACACACATGGAGAACATGTACAGGATTTATCCGAACGAAAATAAAATAAAAAAATAAAAATATATAAAAAAAATATACACAGTGAATTAATTAATTAATCACTTTGTATAAAATAAACAAGATTTGCCAGCCAGCCAGCCACAGCTTTGATGACGCCCCCGATGTTGCGTGTTTTTGTTGTGGTGTGCAAAAATAATAATCGAAAGAAATGAGGGAGCGAGTTTGGCCCCGCATTGCCCCGACATGCGTGCCCATACCTAAACCGGATCTCATCCAAATCGAATGGATACTCGATGATTCCCGTTGTGGGGACGCGCACGCGAAGAATATCTTGTTCCGTTGGTAAATAATCCGTTGCCGCAACCCTGTCTATTTCCATTAAGTAACTTTAACAAAAAAAATGTTAACAAAAAAGTTTTCTTTTTCAAGAAGAGAGTGGGCTAAACTGGGAAGAAACTAATGGTGGGATAGGGAATGCAGAGAGGCCAAGAAAGAAGCCAGAAGGAAATTGAGACAGTGGCAGAGAGATAGATATAAAGTAACGGATATAGGCGATAAAATCATTATAAACGGGTTATGGAAAAATTTTTTGCAAATTTTTGGTGTAGATTTCAATTCTTTTCCGCCATTTTTAATCCTCCAATTTTGAAAATGATAAAAATAGCAGTAGCCATGAGTAACTATGGTAACCAATTAGTTTAAACAATTTTCTAAGTGTCAAAAAATGATTTAGTAAGTAGTTGACTTCCTTAATGCAACATTTCCTGATCGAAAACTGCTTAGCTCATTAGTATGGCAAGCCTAGCTGTGACTAAATTTAAAAAGCATGGACATCTTCGAGATTTCTGGAAGTCTGCCCGACCAAATGTTTCAGGGGAGGTTTTGACTGGGCAAGGAAACCCTTATGTTACTGTCAGGGGTATTGGGTCGCATTTGGACATTAGTAAATCAACGGTTCATAAAATATATTATTCCTATAAAGTAAACCGTATTCACGAGCAATGAGTCGTAGTTTTTCCAACAATAATTTTGCAACGATGACGAAGACTTTGTCAAAAACATATTTTTTCTGACGAGAGAACATTCACATTGAGTGGAGAAGTAAACAGACAAAATTGTCGGTATTGGGCTATTCAAAATCGACATTGACCAAGAAAATCGCACACCCAATATCCGCAAAAGATCAATGTGTGGAGCGAAATAGTACGGGATTCTGTCCTGAGTTCTTACTTTTTGAAGAAACCTTAACTGAAGAGAGATATTTAGATTTTTTCAAAACGATATCATGTTATTCCACCTGAACTCCAATGGCAGTTATTCCAACAAGAGGGCACACCACCACAGTTCAATAAGCTTTCCTAAACCAGTTTTTGACACTCATGGAACTGTTTGAAACAAATGGTTTCCATAGTGACTTATGGTTACTGCTATTTTTATCATATCAAGCAAATTTGATGAAATTAATCTTTAAAGTAATTTTTCTCGAAAATTCTCTTCTCGAAAACCAATATTAATATTGAGTGTACTAGATTCAGAAAAAGGTCCTCTTTCATATTCCGTAAAAAAATTGGAGGATTGCCATTTGAAAAAAATATCGATGACGTGATAACTTGTTTAAAAATTTCGGAAAAGAATTGAAATCCACACCAAAAAATTGCAAAAAATTTAAATCTTTAGACCCGTTTTAAGGATTTTTCCATAAACCGTTTATAATGATTTTATCGCCTATATCCGTTATTTTATGGACACGCTGTATAGAGGCCAGGAGAAAATACAAAGAAGAATGCAAGAAAAAGAAGACGGAGCTGAAGGAAAGGGCGGCTGAGAAGATTAAGGAGTTGAAAGAGGAAAATGAGGTATGGAGATACTAAAAGAGGATGAGGAAGGGAAGAGAGGAAATCAGCAGAAATATACAAATGACTGAATGGAGAATCTATTTCATGGGATTGTTGGGAGAGGTGGAAGAGAGAAGACTGGGCGAAGGAGAGCGAGGGGTGCAAGGAGGAGAAGGATAACAGATGAGATCCAGAATGAGGCATGGTTGGAGGCGACGGAGACGGTGATGATGGGGATAATAGCCCCACTGTATAAAAAGAGGAATAAAAGGGTGGTGAGCAATTATAGAGAGATCACCGTGTTGGACACAACTTTCAAAATGTATGCAAACATACTGCTGGAGAGGTTGGAAGAGGAAATGGAGAGGGGAGAATTGTTGCCGGATGGGCAGGGAGGATTCAGGAAGGGAAGAGGGGGGAATTGATAATATATACATTCTGAAACACCATGGGGAAAGCTGTATGGATTATTTATTGACCTGAAGGCTGCGCATTCGATAACGTGGATAGACAGAAGTTCTGGGAGGACATGTAACCATTGGTTATTTATTATTGATTATATGTACAGGGTGGTTTAAATTCGATGTCCGAATAGGCTATCTCGGAAACTATAAGAATTAGAAAAAAAGTAGCTTCCATGTCATGATCTCGTTTTTCGAGAAACTGCTAATGCTGAAAACCTCAAAGCGCTATCGTCTTTTGTTTTTCCCCTAGAGGCCAAAATTGAAAATATCGTAAAACCAGCAAGTGCAATTATCTTGGTTATTATTATAGGTGGAGTATTATAACTAAGACATTATATGGACACTTTTTTACAGAGAATTTGATGACGTATTAAAAAAAATAATTTTCGTTATTTAAATGGAAACAACCACTCCTGTCGAACCCTATATTTTTGTAATCAGACAAAAACGAGATCATGACATGTAAGCTACTTTTTTTCTAGCTCTTATAGTTTCTGAGATAGTCTATTCGGACATCGAATTTGAACCACCCTGTACAGGGAGACGATGGCCAAAGTTAAAGTGGGGGAAGAGTTAAGTGAGGTATTTTGGACGACAAAGGGATTGAGTCTCTTTGAGTCCCACACTATTTGCAATATATACGGCGGACTTGGAAAAGAGACTTGCGAAGGGGCAAATGGGTGGGGTGGTGATAGGAGGAACAAAGGTGCACGCCTTAGCGTAGGCGGACGATTTGGTGGTCGTGGCTAAAGAGGCGGTGGAGATGAAGGAGATGATGAGGTCCCTGGAAAGATATTTTAAAGCGAACGGGATGGAGGGAAACGTCGAGAAAACAAATGTAATGAAATTCTGCAAAGGGGGAAGAAGAAAGAAGGAAGAATGGAGGTGGCACGTACCTGGGATATGGTTTAACGCACGTGAGGGCGATGGGACAAGTTTGGGGATGGGGAGAACGAACTTTTGGGAGGGACGTGGGAAAAAGAAAGGTTATGTTTGATGGCTTGGTAAGGAGCACAATGACGTAAGGCGCAGTAGTATGGGGATGAAGAGAACAAGGTTTGCTGGAGGATATACAAACACGATATTGGAGATGGGTACTAACGTTGGCAAGGGAGACACCAGGGTGTGTAGTGAGGGTGGAGGCGGGGAGAAGAGCAGTAAAGTATGAGGAAATGATAGAAGCAAGACCACATTGCAGGATCCTGGGAGAGTGCTGGAGGAAAATTAAGGAGAGGAGGCTAATCTATGGGCAAAGAGACAGGGAAGAATATTATAGAAGAGTGGGATACTCACTAACTGGGATCAAAAACAGAAGAGCGGAAAGAGATGAAATGTGGAGACAACTGAGAGTTAGGGACAGGGATATACGGAGGCAGGAAAGGTCACAGATACGAAAAGGGAGATACAATGAAAAGTATGGGGAGATAGTGACAAAAGAACTGCCTAAATATTTGTTGATGGAGGGGGATGATGAAGGGAAGAGATTGGTGGCCAGATTCTGCTGTGGTAATAAGGAGAGGATTGGGAGACGCTAGAACATATGCTGAGAGGGTGTAATGAACTAAGGGAGGAGGCAATGGACAGGAAGCAAATTTTGGCAGAGGGGGGCGAGGGCAAAAGATGGATGAGGGAGGTGATGAGGGCGATGAGACGAAGGGGTGAAAAGGGGGAATGAGGATAGAAGATCTGGAGGTGTATATACAGGCTGTTTCAGTTTTTAATCGGGAAACTTTACTAGGATGTAGTACTTGCTAAAATAACACAATTTTTTTATATAAGCATAGGGTCGCAACTCTTTTGTTTTGGAGCTATGAGCTGTCAAAGTTAACCCAAATATTTACATTTTATCTTTTATTTCGAGTATGAGTAAACCACGGAATTTGAAATTTTGTATGTATGTTCTACTGGCTAATACCTTATTTTCAACCATACCTTAAACTTTCCTAGCTTAAACTCCCTCTAAGGGGATGAAATTCACAACCGCTTTGATTTTTTTATAACAACTTTTTAACACCATGGAATATTAACGTAAAAAAAATATGGGTTGTAAAGCTTATTCATTATTGGTACTTTTTTGTCTATTTAGTTTTTTCCTTAAAGATAATAGTTTTAGCGTAAAAAAATAAAATATGCTACATTGTACAGGGTGTCCAAATTTCGATGGTTATCTCAGTTATTATGAAAGCTAGAAAGTTGCGGCTTTCGCGAACCTGAGCTACTTTTTTGTGAAACTTACAATGGCGCAAACCAAATTTTCACAGCCCTTTTCATTTTTGATATACAGGGAGTATTTGAAATTTACGATTTTCAGACACCTCCTGGAGCTCGGCTGTCCGGAAACTTAGTAAACAAGTAAAAATGGGTTCTAATAGACTTTTTCACGTGGAATCCAATGGTGCACGTAGAATTTTTCTAGTCATCGCGGTTTTTGAGTTATAAACACAACTCAAATACTGAATACTCAACTTCTAAAATACTTAACTCTTTATAACTCAAAAACCGTGAATTAATTTGCACCATTGCACCATTGGAGTCTACATGAAAAAATCTATTAGAACCCATTTTTACGTTTCTGGATAGCCGAGATACGGGAGGTGTCTGAAAATCGTAAATTTTGAAACACTCCCTGTATATCAAAAACGAAGAGGGCTATGAAAATTTGGTTTGCCCCATTGATACACAAAAAAGTAGCTCAGGTTCGCGAAAGCCGCAACTTTCTATCTTTCATAATAACTGAGATCCCAACCCAACTCAACCCATCGAAATTTGGACACCCTGTACAGTAAAGCGCTGCTATTATTAACATTTTTTTTCTTTATAGCTGGCTATGGAAGTTGTGCACTTACTAGGATCTAGTACTAACTAAATAACACCAATTAATTGTGATTTTCATAAGAAAAATCATAAATAAGATGCCTGTCTGAATAAATTACGTTGTTTTAAACAATATTAAAAAATTGTGATACTCTTTCTTAATAACAGTCAAAAATTATTAATAACCAGCAACAATTATGAGGATTCACTGTAAATGAAACTTACAAGTTCTCAGAATCAACTTTTAGAATAATTTTAGTTAAACATGGTGGCACATAGCGGTACATGGCACGATATATAATTTTTTTATATGGAAACTATTAACTTTAAGGAAAATATTAAATAAACAAAAAAGTACCACTAAAGAATAAGCTTTACAACCCATATTTTTTTATGTTAAAATTCCATGGCGTTAAAAAGTTGTTATAAAAAAATCAAAGGGGTTATGAATTTCATCCCCTTAGAGGGCGCTAGGGAAGTTTAAGGTATGCTAGAAAATAAGGTATTACCTAGTAGTAAATACGTACAAAGTTTCAAATTCAATGGTTTCCTTACAGCCGAAATACAAAACAAAATGTAATTTTTTGGCTCAACTTTGACAGCTCATAGCTCGAAAACAAAAGAGTTGCGACCCTATGTTTATATAAAAAAATTGTGTTATTTTGGCAAATACTACATCCTAGTAAAGTTTCCCGATTAAAAACTGAACCACCCTGTATACTATATATACAGGCTGTATCTAAATTGATGCGAAAGATTTTAAGGATTTTTTGGTCAAAACCACTTCTCCTCCAAGTTACAGTCCTCTAAAATTAGAAGAAAAAAATTGTTTTTTTTTAATACATTCACTATGGAGGAATTTGGAAGGATGAAATTTGGCAGATAACTATTACTAATAAGGTGACGTTTTTTGACGATTTTTATAATCCTATAATGTAATTACAATGGGGAGAAAAATCCACCCGTATAATACTTTGCATCAGAACTTTTTGATGCGTCCACATCTTTTAATTTAGAAACTTGATTAAAATAGAGGTATTCAATACGCAACTTTTTTGTTTCTTAACATTGTTTCCTAAAATCGTTAGTTTGTCCATAAAAAATACTTAAACCTATTTGACATAAATTCAGAGTTTGGCAATTACTTGTTTCAAAATATCAAGTAGGCAGGTGTCATAATGACAAATATTTTCATTATTATGATTTTGTATGTATTATTTTCGCAAACTAAAACAATTATTGCTTAAGTAATAACCAGGGCACGGAACTTTTGTAACAAAACGATACGATTTCCCCCCTCCACTCAAAATCTTGATTAAAAGAACGGCATACTGTTCAGTGGGAAATTAAAATTTCAAGTTAGAAAAAAATTGTGTTAACAAAAATTGTTCCTGAAGCAATTTTAAACAAACTTTATCAAAATTTTTTTTTGATTTAATCAATAATTAAGGAGATAATCTCAAAATAATAATTTTTAAATTTTTATAAGTACATAATTACACTTAGATGCTTAATTAATAGAGATGTAAAATTTTTTTATTAAGATAATTGATTCAAAATCGAAATTGCAACAAATTTTATTTAAAATTTTTTTTGATAAAAACAATAATTATCGAGATAATTAATTTTGATAGCATACTATTCAGAGGGAAATTAAAATTTCAAGTTAGCAAAAAATTGTATTAACAAACACTGTTCCTGAAGTAATTCTAAACAAATTTTGTTAACAACATTTTTTGATTAAATCAACAATAAGGATATAACCTCAAAAATATTAATTTTTGTAGCATACTGTTCAGTGGGAAATTAAAATTTCAAGTTAGAAAAAAATTGTGTTAACAAAAATTGTTCCTGAAACAATTCTAAACAAACTTTGTCAACAATTTTTTTTGATTTAATCAATAATTAAGGAGATAACCTCAAAATAATAATTTTTCCGTTTTTATACATAATTATACTTAGATGCTTAATTAATAGAGATGTAAAAATTTTTTATTAAGATAATTGATTCAAAATCGAAATTGAAACAAATTTTATTTAAAACATTTTTTGATAAAAACAATAATTATTGAGATAATTAATTTTGATAGCATACTATTCAGAGGGAAATTAAAATTTCAAGTTAGCAAAAAATTGTATTAACAAACACTGTTCCTGAAGTAATTCTAAACAAATTTTGTTAACAACATTTTTTGATTAAATCAACAATAAGGATATAACCTCAAAAATATTAATTTTTGTAGCATACTGTTCAGTGGGAAATTAAAATTTCAAGTTAGAAAAAAATTGTGTTAACAAAAATTGTTCCTGAAACAATTCTAAACAAACTTTGTCAACAATTTTTTTTGATTTAATCAATAATTAAGGAGATAACCTCAAAATAATAATTTTTCCGTTTTTATACATAATTATACTTAGATGCTTAATTAATAGAGATGTAAAAATTTTTTATTAAGATAATTGATTCAAAATCGAAATTGAAACAAATTTTATTTAAAACATTTTTTGATAAAAACAATAATTATTGAGATAATTAATTTTGATAGCATACTATTCAGAGGGAAATTAAAATTTCAAGTTAGCAAAAAATTTTATCAACAAACACTGTTCCTGAAGTGATTCTAAACAAATATTGTTAATAAAAATTTTTGATTTGATCAATAATTAAGAACATAGCCTCAAAAAAATTTGTATATATATATTTTTTGTTGAGAAAATCGTTTTAGAATTTATTATTATTATTTTTTACATAAATAATAACCATACACCATACTGTGAATTTGTGTCAAATAGGTTTGAGTACTATTTTATTTTTTTATGAACAAACAAGCAATTTTAATAGAAAATGTTAAGAGATAAAAAGGTTGCATAATGAATCCCTCTATTTAAATAAATTTTTTAAATAGAAAAATGTAGACGCGTTAAAAAGTTCTAAATCGCCAAAAAATGTCACCTTATTAGTAATAGATAGTTATTTGCCAAATTTTATCCTTCCAAATTCCTCCATAGTGGATTTATTAAAGAAAAATAATTTTTCCCCTAATTTTAGAGGGCTGTAACTTGGAGGAGAAGTGGTTTTGACCAAAAAGTTATATGTAAATTAATAAAATAAAATAAAATCACCCCTTAAAATCGTTTGCATCAATTTAGATACACCTGTATAGTAGAAGGGAAAATTATAAATATTAAAAAAACAATAAAATGCTTATAAACAAAAAACTTTTCAACCCTGAATAAATCATAACCTATAATACAAAAAAAAAGTTGTTTTTTTAAACCATAACTCACTATTTAGCCGAATCTGTAAGCTGGTATTCTCGCCTACGGTCGTAACACTCTTGGATACCAGAGTCGTTCCATAGATCTTTGATGGCATCGACGTAGGGGGGCTCGAAGGTCGTCACCGTTTCGTAATCGACCCCTCGAATCAATTCCGCTTTTTCCTAATTAAATTTGAAAAATTAAATTAAATTAAAGCGGATTTAAAGTTAAACTAACTATGCTGGAAGACTCTGCGTATCGGATTTTCAACAAATCCATGGCACGGATCATACTTTGCATAGCCATGAAGATGTTTTGATAAACCAATTTGATGAAGCCACGTTTATCGTCGTCGGAATAACCAGCCCCATGGATAATCCTCATTTGTTTAATAAATGTTGATTTTCCCGACTCACCAGTACCTAAACACAACGCAAATTTAGTTTTTTTTTAATATTAATAATTAATTTAGGATGATTCATTTTTGCTTACCAAGAAGAAGGAGTTTAAGCTCCCTACGGGCATCTCGTTTGTCCCTACGAAGCTGTTTCTCGATCTCCTGGTTGATGCGTTTCTGCTCCTTGACCTCATCTGACTGGCAACAAGACATGGTGGTGTGGGTGGTCGCGGTGGCCACGCGACGTAGATACCATCCACGCTGGCCTGGCCGCGTTTAAATAACTTTGGGAAGCTATTGCGAGGAGTTAACGTCCTGCACCGATGGGGTGGAGTTCAACAGTGGGGTGTGGTGGAGGCGGCCCAGCAGCATTCTTTTATACGTAAAGAGGGGCCCAAACTATAATCCACTTATCGTAACTAGATTGACGAAGAAGCCCGGGTTGTGCATAGAAACGAAACAAGATTAATGTAAGCGATTTTCGGTATACATATAGCGAAGGTGTCGGCGTCGCAAAAACACGACTCCTACAACTCCGAGCACGCTGGACGGAACAGCCCCAAAAGGGACTGATTAAACTGATCGCGATTAAACTGTTTTTCGGTACTTACGAGTCATGGGTGGGTCGAGCTTCGGTTCAATTACTTTTTCACACAACCGCCTATTGACAATATGGCGCGGCTCGAACTACTTTTGCGCAAAACAGGAAGCGGAAACTGGCGCCAACTTTGTCTCTAATTCAAATTTAAACATTTAATATTCAAATTAATTCCATTTAAACTCATTTATTTTATTAATCGAATCGAAAAATTATAATAAAAACTTAATATAAAACAATAAATGAAATCTTTATTTATTTAATTAATTGTGACAGATTTGTCAAAAATTGCCCAAAGTGAAAAAGTTAGGTTAAAACATTTTAATCGATTAATTTGTTAATTGAAAACGAAATATTTAATAAAAATTGTTTCTAAATCAATATAAATTAAATTAGATTTAAAAAATTAAATAGTTAATTGGGTTTATTAAAATTTATTAAAAAAAATTTTAAATTAGAATTAACCGCGCCATCTATTAGCATATAATTAAATTAAAAAAGTTTCAAAATAAAATTATTATTAATTTTGAATTCGGACAAAATTCAAAAATATGTGATGATTGTACCTCATAAATTCATAATTAAAAGGATATAATTAAGTTTTCTTGATTTACCTTTATGTCAAAAATTAAATTTGACTTTTTGTTGCTTTCAATTTTGCATCATTTAAAACTACTTGGTTAGCAATTTCCTGCTTAATTACCAAAATAAAGAAAGTATTAAGACGATTTTGTATCAAATCTTCATTTATGCTTATAAATATTAATAAATAATATAAAAAATAATAAATGAAATCTTTATTTATTTCATTAAGTGTGACAGATTTGTCAAAAATGAAGAAGTTAGGTTAAAACGTTTTAATCGATTAATTTTCACTTGAAAACGAAATATTTAATCAAAATTGTTTCTAAATCAATATAAATTGAATTAAATTTAAAAAATAAAATAGTTAATTGAGTTTATTAAAATTTATAAAAAAAAATTTAAAATTATAATTAACCGCGCCATCTATTAACAAATAATTAAATTATAATAGTTTCAAAATAAAATTATTATTAATTTTGAATTCGGACAAAATTCAAAAATATGTGATGATTATTCATAATAAATTCATAATTAAAAGAATATAATTAAATTTTCTTGATTTATCTTTGTCAAAAAATTGTCAGAATGTATTAAGATGATTTTGTATCAAATTTTCAAATATTAATAAATAAACTTTAATTTTAAATATATTTATTGTAACATTCATATTTATAACATAAATCCGTTTGAATCATTACAAAACTTTGTCGAAACAATTTCAAACTTGAATTTCCTACATTTTATTTATTGTTATATTAAATAAAACTCAATAAATCGATTACAAATCAATAAAACACTAAGAAACAATTAAATAATAAAACCTAAATCATTTAAATATACGGTTCGGACCAGTATTTAATTGTACTTCCATGGCGTTCAAAAACACTCGTCGATTTAACTTTCGAACGGAGCTTAACATCTTTTGGTTTTAACATACTCTTGTGATTACTCAATAAACGCGTCGGCGTTAAAATAGACTTAGTACTCAGCCCGGTACACTCCAAGAAATGCTCGTAAGTCGGCTCATTTTGTCGCTTCTCAATCATTTCGTTACTTTGTTGAATCTTTTTACGAAACTCCTCAACGTTACACAAATTTAAAGTAGGAACTTGAATTTCTTTTTGAATCATCTCATCATTTGATTGAATCGATTTTGAATCAATTATTTGATTAATTTGATTCATTTGACTCATTTGTGTTGAAGTATCACTTTTATCACTTTTCGAATCGATGTCGTATTCTTCGAGAATTTCGCAATCTTCGAGTTTAAATTCTTCAAAATTTTGACTTAAATCGAATTTTTCGCAATTTTGTAAATTTTCAAAACTGGAGAATAATTTTTTTTGGATCGGTTTTCTTTTAATTTCTGATAAAAGCTGTTGGTTATTAAATTCGGTTATTAAACTCGAAACGGTTGACCCCATTATAATCGGTCTGCGATTAACGTTTTTTATTTTTAAAATTTGGGTGTTATTTTTAACGTAATTATCTTGATTCGTTATTATCTCATCGTTTTCTAAATCTTTATTTTTATCAATTTCGGTCTCATTTTCGATTTCTTCTTCGGGGATTATAATTTCGGAAACTTGGGGTAATTTAGGAATTTCATTTTCTTTTATTAATTTTGATTTCGGTGAAATATTTTCCGTCTTAATCGGCGTTTGTTTGGCTAATTGAATACTAAACTTCTCGATGTTTTTGCTTACAAGATTTGCGATCTCGTCGTTAACATCAACTGGGTCGTATTCTGATTCGCCACTTTTCTGTTTGTGTATAATAATATCTTTGGAATTTTCGAGGACGTTTGAGGCATTAATTTCCGCCACTACATTAATTTTTTCCTTCACCATCTTCAACGGGAGATTTAACTCGCTTATTGAACAATAATCGGGCTCCGATTCCGTGCTATTCTCAGACGAGGATTTAATTTGATTCAAATTAATTTTGTATTTCGAAACTAAATTAATCGGTTTTGGGGGGAGAGCCGGCGGAGTTCTCAATATCTTATTTTTCTTAATAATCTCAACTGGCTTCGTGTCCATATCGTAATAATTCGTATCTACATCTTTTGGGACGCTCAATTTCTTTGTGGGCAAAATGTTCACCTCCTTTTCTTGCAAATTTTTTGAAATAATCTGCTCGTAATCGTTGCTATAAATACTTTGGGGACTCTCGTAAAAATTGGGCTGCTTTTGAATCGGAGTTTCGTAATAATCACTTTTTTGGCAATCTTGATCGCTAAATTTCACTTTTTTCCCATTCTTATTAACATTTTTCCTCTCCAAATTAGGAGTTTTCTCGCCGCCGAAAACTTCATTCATCGAATCGTTAATATTATGCAACAAAATTTGATTCATACACTCCAAAACCGGGTTGTTTCGGTAAACATCTCTTTGTTCCTCCATTTCTTGGTCACTCCCGCTTGCGTACCACTTCTCCGTGGATTCAGGCTCATCCCCCTCGAAAACTGGGATGTTCTCAGAGATTTTCAGCGTTGTTGATTTATCAATAACCGTGTTATTACAATCCGATTCATTCGAGCTACTATTATTATTATTAAAAATCGTTTCAATTCGCTCTGAAACATTCGTAATTTCATCCTCAACCTCTTTAATCGGACTTTCCCCATCCAAATTCTCGTAATCATTTAATTGGGGACTCCCCCCTCGAAGTTTCAAAGCTTCAAAATAACTCCCAATACTTTTTTTATGCGTTATCTTCTTCCCCCTTCTCCCCAAAGAATCTTTGTTATACTTATTCTTTTGATAAATACTACATTTAGTTTCGCTTTCATTCGAGATTGTGGCATAAGTTTCTGAACTTGAGTCCAAAGACTCCAACGTTGAGCTTTGATAATCTTGGTAATCAGTCGCGACGTAATCCGAGCTACTATCCAAGCTCTCAATTTGAGAAATTGGGCTATAAAACTGATTGCAATGCTTGCAATATTGATTCGACATCAAATTCGAAATTTCTTTTCTCTGCTTATTAATCAAATAATCCTTCTCTTCTAATTGATGGCTTATAAATTTTTGCTCCTGCTTTAAACGGGCCTCAAAAATTAATAAGGCGCGCAAAACTTTCCCTAATTGGTCGTTCCTCAAAGTTCTTTCCGATTGATATTGGTGCTCCTTATCTTGTAACCGCTTCGTGTACTCCGAAACTAATTGGCGACATCGCTTCGTTTGTTGCTTTAAAGCTTTCTGCACCGTTTCTAATTCTAGCCTTATTGAGGAAGTTTCCGACTCAATCTGAAACGAAAAAGCAAAGAATATTGATTACTAATCCCGTTGGAATGTTCTTATTGCATTTTTTAAACATTTCGGTTTCAAAATATCGAAAGTAAGAGACCCCGCGGTTTTCCCACTCTCTATCTCTTTCCGAAAAGGATGGAAGAACGTTTTGTATAACAAAATAACGCACGTCGTGACCGCATTCTTAAAACCACCTCATTTTTTTATACTTATCGTAACACGTCGAATATCAATTAATAAATTAACAACAAATATATAACCAATACTTCACCTTTAACTAATTAACACAATAGTGACAATTTGCAATGTTAATTAATTAATAAGAGTTTTTGTTAGAAATTAGGACAAAAAATAATGAAGATGCGCAAAATTAGCCCCAATGTATTTTGCCATCTGCGATCTAAAGAAAGAATTTTTAACGGTGAAAGCAGTCGTGGATATCATTAATCTAAAGGAAAAAGAGAAGCGCTCCCAAATGACTATTCATGTCAGAGCGACATCTGAAGAAATATCTTTGAATGTAGAACGCTCATGATTGTCATGAAAAGTAAAAAGAAGTATTTCTAAAATTTTCTCAAAAACCATCACATTAACATAGTGATATTTTTTAATATTCTTAAATTACGTACTTTTAGGATTAATTTGGTATAAAAATCACCGTTTAACTCCTTTGAATAAATTCTGGACGATTTTTTAAAGTTTTGCTTTATTTTTGTAACGAAAAAGTTAATCTTTCGATTTTCAACATTTGCTCTAAAGCTATCATATTGACATATAGATAGGTTTCAATATTCTTAAATTAGGTACTATTAGGATTAATTTGGTATAAAAATCATCGTCTAACTCCTTTAACCCTTTGTGTCGTGACGATACTTTAAAGTACCGGTAGTTTTAAACACTCATTTTAAACTGTAGTCTTCTATTCGGCGCATTTAGAACTATCGGTACTTTCTGCTATACAAGAAAGATACAACTGAGCTTTAATTTAAAATAAGTCTCATTCCTTAATTTCAATAAACACAGCTTTCAGAAATTTTGTAATTAGCATCTTTTTTGACACTTTTAGGTTATACGAAAATGTAAGTTTTGTTTCAACATTTTTTTTCTCGATATTTTTCCAATCCAACCCAACAATTATGATACATCATTGTAAAAAGAAAGCTTTGAGCTTTAATTTAGAATAAGTCTCATTCCTTAATTTCAATAAGCCCATCTTTCAGAAATTTTTAAATTAACATCTTTTTTTGACACTTTTAGGTTATACAAAAATGTAAGTTTTGTTTCAACATTTTTTTCTCAATATTTTTCCCATCCAACCCAACAATTATTATACATCATTTTAAAGAGAAAGCTTTGAGCTTTAATTTAGAATAAGTCTCATTCCTTAATTTCAATAAATACGGCTTCCAGGAATTTTTAAATTAGCATCTTTTTTGACACTTTTAGGTTATACGAAAATGTAAGTTTTGTTTCAACATTTTTTTTCTCAATATTTTTCCAATCCAACCCAACAATTATTATACATCATTTTAAAGAGAAAGCTTTGAGCTTTAATTTAGAATAAGTCTCATTCCTTAATTTCAATAAATACGGCTTCCAGGAATTTTTAAATTAGCATCTTTTTTGACACTTTTAGGTTATACGAAAATGTAAGTTTTGTTTCAACATTTTTTTTCTCAATATTTTTCCAATCCAACCCAACAATTATTATACATCATTTTAAAGAGAAAGCTTTGAGCTTTAATTTAGAATAAGTCTCATTCCTTAATTTCAATAAATACGGCTTCCAGGAATTTTTAAATTAGCATCTTTTTTGACACTTTTAGGTTATACGAAAATGTAAGTTTTGTTTCAACATTTTTTTTCTCAATATTTTTCCAATCCAACCCAACAATTATTATACATCATTTTAAAGAGAAAGCTTTGAGCTTTAATTTAGAATAAGTCTCATTCCTTAATTTCAATAAATACGGCTTCCAGGAATTTTTAAATTAGCATCTTTTTTGACACTTTTAGGTTATACGAAAATGTAAGTTTTGTTTCAACATTTTTTTTCTCAATATTTTTCCAATCCAACCCAACAATTATTATACATCATTTTAAAGAGAAAGCTTTGAGCTTTAATTTAGAATAAGTCTCATTCCTTAATTTCAATAAATACGGCTTCCAGGAATTTTTAAATTAGCATCTTTTTTGACACTTTTAGGTTATACGAAAATGTAAGTTTTGTTTCAACATTTTTTTTCTCAATATTTTTCCAATCCAACCCAACAATTATTATACATCATTTTAAAGAGAAAGCTTTGAGCTTTAATTTAGAATAAGTCTCATTCCTTAATTTCAATAAATACGGCTTCCAGGAATTTTTAAATTAGCATCTTTTTTGACACTTTTAGGTTATACGAAAATGTAAGTTTTGTTTCAACATTTTTTTTCTCAATATTTTTCCAATCCAACCCAACAATTATTATACATCATTTTAAAGAGAAAGCTTTGAGCTTTAATTTAGAATAAGTCTCATTCCTTAATTTCAATAAATACGGCTTCCAGGAATTTTTAAATTAGCATCTTTTTTAACACTTTTAGGTTATACGAAAATGTAAGTTTTATTTCAACATTTTTTTTTTCAATATTTTTCTTATTCAACCCAACGATTATTATACATCGATTTAAACAGAAAGCTTTAAGCTTCAATTTCAAATAAGTTTCATTTCTTAATTTCAATAAACAGGGTTTCCAGAAATTTTTGAATTAGCATATCTTTTGACACTTAGATTATGCGGAAATATGCATATTTTGCTAAAATTGACTCCAAAGGCCTTTACTAAGTGTATTTTGATAACGTTATAATTCTGTCACAAAGTTTCAAAATCTTTCAGGACGTAGAAACTGTTTCCCTGCTTCATGCAGAGGCAATTATCTAATGAATTCCCAATTACCAGTGTATTTACAAATTAATATAATTCCTAAATGACTTTTAGATTAAGAAGTAATTAAGATATTGTAATAAAATCCCTGTTTCCGAAGAAACAAAAAAGACTAATTAAATTTAAGATCTTCAGTATTATAAATTAGGCTAAGTAGTTACGTTTTGTTACGATTTTCGTTTAGATTTAAGAAAAATTAGGGCGATGTGCAAGAAAGAGGTAATTCTTTGAAGTCCATGACCTTCAAATTTGACCTTGTCGTTTACATTTTTGACAGATATTGATTTTGGCGACTTTTCAGACGATTTTAGATTCTAAAAACATGCGAGATCGATAGATCGTATCGATTTAGCCCATAGCCCGCAATTTCATGCATTTCTGTATCATTTTATATATTTAAATTCCAATTTTTCATTTCCAAACTTCAACGTCAAATTACAACTTTCTCGAAGGAAATTAACACCCGAAAGCGCGTTTATCTAAAAAAACGAAAAATTAGCTACAAAATTACAGAATCTTAATCAAATTTAAAGTTTATTAATAATTTCGATTATTTTTAAAATTGACAGTTATTTTCTTTAAAAAAATTAATTATTTTGGCTAACCTGTGTAATTTATAATTCCCGCCACTTAATCAACCAATCAGAGAGCTCAGAGTCAAACTGAGAGGATCAAATTCGGATATCCAAGAAGGCTGTGTCCAAAAAGGGTATATAAGGCCGCGCAAATTGACGCCGGGGAGAGTTCAAATTTGGCTAGGACCAAGCGTTGTCGAATTTACGTCAAATTAACCTTAAATTTTCTAACCTAAGTCTGAACTTAGAAGTAAACAAAGTAAACAAGAATTATCTTCGAAGAAATCGAAACCATACCTGAGTTCGAGTCCAATCCTCCATCCTGTTCCCGAAGGACGAAATTTCCCGAGAATCCTAAACTTCTAATACCGAAGAATATCCATCCCTCAAGATCAAGGTCATCAAGGTAAGCCAGCCATTTTTAACTGACATGTCACATCTCCAGAAAGAAACAAGATAAGTGAACATATTTCCTTTTATCGAACTCTTTAATTTTTATAATCATCGCGATTAAAAATCAATCTTAAAAGACAATCATAAAATTAACGCGTATAAGCTTTGTCTACGACAACACTCTTCTACACAGAGTAATCTGTGCTCTTCTAAAAGAGTTACCTCTTTCTTACACAGACGTATTTATTTAGGCTCGTTTTTATGTTGAGTTCGTAAATTTAAAAGTTTAGTTAATAGATGTCTCCATGAACCTGCGATTTCTTTTCTTTTCCCCAGATTCATGTTCTTTAATTTAAAAATGTATTTTTGTTCGTTGCGAATCANAGTCATTAAGGTAGCAATTGGGAATCGGAGCTTTCTATAAGAAAACTTTTTTAACAAAAATTGTTGCAAATTTTATTGTTAACAATATTGCTCTTTTACACTTTTGAAATTAGATGCGTCAATATCAAGATATATACGAAAATATGAAAATTTGTTGCTCTTTCGAGTCATTAAAGGTAGCACTTGGAAATCGGAACTTGTTAGAAGAAAACTTTTTTAACAAAAATTGTTACAAATTTTATTGTTAACAATATTGCTCTTTTACACTTTTGCTCTTAGATGCGTCAATATCGAGATATATACGAAAATATGAATATTTGTTGCTCTCTCAAGTCATTAAAGGTAACACTTGGGAATCAGAGAAGTCTAGTTTGAAGGGATTCCGATAGACCTTGCATCAGAACGTAAGAGACGCTCAAGACGCATCATATAATAATTATACAGGGTGTGTCAAATGTTTGGAATATAGCCAATAACTTCGCCAGTTGTAGTTTTAAAGAAAAATGTTTCAAATACAAATTTCTTTATTAATCATGGCGCATTTTTTTGGCGATATTTGATTGTTTGTATTGTTTTTTTTCGTTGCTATGGCAACCAATATTATTATTTTAAATGAGATGCATATATTGATAGAGGATAAGTCCCTCTATGCGATGAACATATCAAATCATATAGTTGTATAAGAAAAAAATCGAGAATTTGTTTAAACTGTCAATTTTTTAACATTTAAAGTTGTCAACGGCGTTATTTCGGCGCCTACTTTGATTGTAATTTGCTGCTTTAATATTTCTCGATTTTTTTTCTAATACAACCTTATGATTTGATATGTTCATCGCGTAGAGGGATTCATCCTCTATTAAAATGTGCAAAAAAAAACATATGCATCCCATTTAAAATAACAGCGTTGGTTGACATAGCAACGAAACAAAGAACAATGTAAACAAGCAAGTATAGCCAAAAAATGCGCCACAATTAATAAAGAATTTTTTATTTGAAACATTTTTCTTTAAAACCACAAATGGCGAAGTTATTGGCTATATTTCAGACACACTCTGTATATACAGGGTGTCCCGCAACGATTGTACAAAACTGCATCAGCGTATTCTATGATCAAAAATAAACAAAAAAAGCCTAATAAACATAAGTCCGAAAATGCACCATTTTCGAGATATTCAAAGATTTAGTTTCATAAGTTGATATTAGGTTTGTTCGAGCAGAGAATTAGGTATTAGTTTGTGACAAATTAGTGCATTCATGAATGCGCATGCGCACGTAACGATTAATTGCAAACTAGTACGATATTTGTCACAGCTCAAACAGTAAAAATATGAAAACATTGTATTAAACATTGTATATGGCCATTGTATTACTTCATCTGATAGGTTGCTTATAAAATACACTGTTCGCTGGATTACAGTTTGTAGGGAACTTATACTAATATTAAATCTATCAGCTACATCTCGGAAAGAAGCCGTCTGATGACCAGCAAACCACAGAAATAATGGCTTTAAATCGATTTGCTAGATTTTCAGCAACTACTCTACTCAATCGAAAATGTTCCATAAATTCTGAGTCGCAATACTGTTGTACTGTTATTTCGAAGTACTCTTCATTTTTTGGCCTTATTCGCACTGGTGTATCAAGTAATTCACCTTCTAAGTCATCATCACTTGACTCAAAATTTACTAAAGGCACATCTTCACTTGACAACGAAATATCGGACATGATTATTTATACTCTGATTTATACTAGGTACTTAAGAACGTGTTAACAACAATTACAGATTAATAAAGCGGATATTGTGTTTACAAATATAAATCGATTGTGTCGCCCTCTCGACGTGCTACGTTTATTACCAACAAACTCGCAAAGTATCCACTGCGCATGACAGTACACAATCCGTCAACAATTTTCTTTTTTTTTTCTCGAGGTACTCTGAAGAGTCGAAAGCCCATCATACTGCAATTTTTGTAACTTCAAAGGCACGAAGACGGCATTATTTTTGTAAATAAGTGGTAACATGCACTGACAAGCTGTCAAACTCTCGAATATTTCAAATACACATGAAACGCGGTACTTTGCATCGAAAATATTTATATTATACTTATATAGAAGCATTACTCCGCACTATTTTACCGACCAAATTGAATGCAGCACCGCCAAGGGGATTGTAATAGAAGTAATTTTAATAAACCGCGAAATTTGAATGTGTTCGGTATATTTATATATACAGGGTGTCCCGCAACGATTGTACAAAACTGCATCAGCGTATTCTATGATCAAAAATAAACAAAAAAAGCCTAATAAACATAGGTCCGAAAATGGACCATTTTCGAGATATTCAAAGATTTAGTTTCATAAGTTGATATTGTTAACATCATGAATTTAAATTTGTTTTTATAATAATTAAGTCGTTACTATGATTACGATAAGTTGTCTAATCAAAAAAAAAAATAATAATACTTCACGAAATTATTATTTTACTATTTAATTTAATAAAACTATTAAGTATGGCTCCTATTAATTACTCCAAGGAAGAGATGGCGGATATGGTGTATTGTTACGGACTAGCTGACGGAAATGCGTCGTTAGCAGCTCGTCATTACGCGCAAAGGTTCCCGAACAGACG